CTGATTTTTCTTAAATTTTTTAAATTATTATTTTGTGTGTGTGTACAGTCAAATCGGATCTGACTGGTACAGGAGGAGATTGCCCCTCCTCCAGCAGAGCATCTGGTGGATTCAAACCACATACTTCTGGGATTGCAGTGCAGCTTCTTGCCACGAAGCCACCAGAGCTCCCTTCCTTTCCTGATTTTGAACCATGTAGTGGTTCAGCTCTGTTCTGAGGACTGCATCCTGGTCTAAGTATTGACCTTTTTATTATCAGTCAACTGGCCTAAACACTGTACTACCAAGGGCCAATTTATTTATACAAGGGACTATTAGTCAGCAATAAAACACAACAAACTATTAAACCTGAAGAAACATGGATGAACCTCCAACATAGATACAGTTTAAGAAGCCAGACACAAAGACTATATGATTCCATTTTTATAAAGTTTCCAGAAAAGACATAACAATAGACCTAGAAAATAGATTCATTTATTTAATCACTAACTCATTGGCATCAAGTTGGAACCTAGTCTTATTTGGCCCTCCATAAGGTTTCTGAGGCTGTAAATCACACAGGAGGAGATTCTTCTCCTGAAGAACCACTAGTGGATTCAAAGTTTCAGAGAGAAGTCATTGAGAGAAGCCACTGCATCTCCTTATGGACTAGGCCACCAGAGCTTCTGGAAAGCAAATTACTAAAAAAAACTTAACTCAAATGGAGAAGCCACACAGGTCCATATAGCTCTTGATAATTCTTGTTACAGACTCCTTAAGAAAAGGAAGCCACTGCCAAACTTTACCTTGATAAATGTTCCAAGATGCTAAGACTAATGAAATCAGCACAGTAATCTCCAGTTTTATCTCAAGCTGAAACCACTATCAGCAAGTTCTACTAACATTAAAATTATTTTCTCCTATCAAATGCCAATTTAAATGAGAATTTAAGGTAGGAAATTATATGGGGAGCTCTGGTGGCCTAGTGGTAAGGAGCTGCAACTACAATCCTAGAGGTGCACGGTTCAAATCCACCAGATGCTCTGCCGGGGAAGGAGGGACAATCTCCTTCTGTACCAGTCAGATCTGATTTGACCGTACACGCAACACAAAAATAATAATAATAATAATAATAATAATAATAATAATAAAAAAGTTGGAAATAGGCCCCAATCACTGAGCCGCCAATGAGGACTCAGCTGCCTCCCCCTGGAAACCCCTCGCTTCCCGACGCTCTGTGCCTCCTGCCCACTTTCTCCCGCAGGCAGTTTCCAGTGAGGAAAAAGAATCATCTCTTAGCGTATGTCCACTACCCAGAACCTCCACTCTTTAGACCACTTTGTTGATGCAAGTAAGGGTGATGACCTGCTTCCTGCTGGGATTGAGGATTATATCCATATAAGAATTCAACAGAGAAACGGCAGAAAGACCCTTACAACTGTCCAAGGGATCGCTGATGGTTATGATAAAAAGAAACCAGGTGAAGGCGTTTAAGAAGACGTTTGCCTGCAATGGTACTGTAATTGAGCATGCGGAATATGGAGAAGCAATTCAGCTACAGAGTGGCCAGCGCAAGAATATAACCAGTTTCTTGGACTGGACTGGCTAAGAACAACCAGCTGAAGGTTCATGGGTTTTAAGTGCTTGTGGCTCACTTAAGTGAGGATTTCCTAGCAATGAGTAGAAAATTTCCCTTCTATCCCTTGTCAGAAGTTTAAAACGTCACAGCTTGTATAATGTAACCATTTGGGGGGGGGGGTCCACTTTTAACTTCGACTAGTGTAACTCTTTCATGCAATAAACTGAAAAGACCCACTAAAAAAAAGTTGTAAACAGAAATACCAACTGACCCAGCAATTCAACTTCTGGGAATATACCCTAAAGAAACCAGAACTGCCACCCAAACAGATATATGTACACCCATGTTTATTGCAGCTTTGTTCACAATATCAAAGGGATGGAAACAACCCAAGTGCCCATCAACAAACGAACAGATAGAGAAGCTGTGGTATATTCACACAATGGAATATTATGCTGCACTGAAAAACAAGGAATTCATGAATTATTATATAAAATGGATGACCCTGGAGGACATTATGCTGAGTGAAATATCTTAGTCATAAAAGGACAAATACTGCAAAATGCCACTGCTGTAAAACAGGACTGAAACTGGGGTTGGGGGGATACTAAGAAAAGAGTGGATAAATAATGTATACTGCATGAGAACAGATGAGGGAAAGAACTGCTTAAAAGGAATATAGGACTAGGTATTATTTGTACAATAATAGTCCAGAATAAGAGCTGCATAGTAAAGAGGACTGGGGTGGGGGTGGGGAATTGTACAATAAAATAATTTTTTTTCTTCAAAGAGAAAAGCGAATGAGGGGAGAAAGGTAGGCAGGGAAGAAAATGTTCAATAATGGATGAATGGAAATTCAGGTTCTATATAAACTTTCATTAAAATCTCAACTAAAAAAAAAGAGAGAAGTTAAAATAAAGATATACAACAATAATGTTTCTTAGAAGGAAAGATGGAGAAGCAGAAGGCTCTAATGGTAAAAAAACTCAAAGACATGTGGTTCAAATCCACCAGCTGCTCTGTGGGAGAATGATGGGCAATCTTCTCCCACATATTAACTGCCTCTGAAACCAGCCAGAGGGTGGGTTCTGACTTGATACACAACAACAAAAACAGTGTATCTTCTTATCTCTTAATGGCTTCTATCACTCATGTTGATTGTGGATCAATGTAAAGTGAAAATTGACAACTTAAAGGGAAAAAAAAGACTTCAACTTCCTTATGGTAGATATCATTAGGAAAACCAACCACCATGGAAGAACTTTTTCCATTTCGAAGGATTCTATGGGCAAAATCTTGAATGATGCAGGAAGCATCAAAAGAAGATAGAAAGTATACAGAGTCACTATATCAAAAAGAATTGGTTAAAACCAGAAATATTTCATGAAGCAGTATACAATCAAGAACTAATGAAGGAAGACATTCATACTGCACTGAAGGCACTGACAAAAAACAAGGCCCCAGGAATTGACGGAATAGCAACTGACATAGTTCAGTAAATAGATGGAGCCCTGAATGTCCTCCCTAGTCTAAGCCAAGAAGACAACTACCAGCCAACTGAACAAAAGAGATCCATATTTGTTCGCATGCCCCCCCAAAATGTGGAAATTTTTTTTTTCAAAATGTGGAAATTATCTAACAATTATCATGAATGCCACATGTAAATAAAATCTTGCTGACGACTCTTTAAAAATGGTTAGTAAAGTACATCCATAGGGAACTGCTAAAAATTCAAGCTAGACTCAGAAATGGCCATGGCACAAGGGATATCAATGCTGATGTCAGATGGATCTTGGCTGAAAGCAGAGAATCAGAGAATAGCAGAAAGATGTTTATCTGTGTTTTATTGACTATGCAAGGGCATTTGTGTGGATCATAACAAATTATGTATAACACTGAGAAGAACGGACATTAAAAAACACCTAATCATATATATGAAACATTAGGCTTAGACCAAAAAGCTGTTGTTTGAACAAAACAAGAGATCACTGCATGGCTTAAAATCAGGGTTGTATCCTTTGTCCATAATGACTCTATATGTAAATTGAGCAAATCATTCAAGAAGCTGGAGCATGTGAAGAAGGTGACATCAAGACTGGAGTAAGAGTCATCAATAACCTATGTTATGCAGATATAATGTTTGCTTACTGAAAACAAAGACTTGAAGCACTAACTGAAGAAGATCAGACTACAGCCTTCAACATGGACCATATCTCAACATCGAGAAAACAGAAATCCTCACCACTGGACCACTGCAAGAGAGGGAGAAAAAACTGAGTTGTCAGTGATTCCATTTTATTTGGATCCACATGGAAAGGATGACAGAAGAAAAACTGATGTCTTTGAACTGTAATGTTGGAGAAGAGTATTTAATATCCCCTGGACTGTCAAAAAACCAAAAAAGTCTGTCCTGGAGGAGTATAACCAGTGTTCTCCTCAGAAGCAAGGACAGGGAAGCTTTGCCTCATGTACACAGGGCATATTGTCAGAAGTGGCTAGTGCCGGGAAAGGTGGAAGTCAGAGAAAGAAAAGACTCAACAAGATGGACTGCCATAGTAACAGACACAATGGCCTATGGCATATTGGAGATTGTGAAGATGGTGCAGAATTGGGCAAGGTTCAGATGTGTTGTTCATAAAATCACTATGAATAGACGTCGACTTGTTGGTGCCTAACAACAACACAAAAAGAATCTAATGTTTGGTAAAGCAGAGGGCCAATGAAAATAAGGGAAACCCACAGTGAGATGGACTGATAAAACTACCACAACTGACGCAAACATATCAACAATCATAAAGGTGGTACAGGACCAGGCAACTGTGCATATTATTATACATAGCCAACTTAACATCAACAACAACAAAAGACAGAAAAGTAGATTAGCCTATTTCTGGGAGGTGTTAGAGGAGAATAGAAGGTCAGGGTATTTTTTTGGGATGATAAAATTGTCCTGAAATGATAGCTGCACAACTCTGGGAATAGACTAAACATCACTAAATTATATCCTTTAAATGAGTTAATTGTTTGGTATGTGAATTGCATCTCAGCAAAAATATTACTTATTAAAGCTTTCACTTAAATAAATCTCATAAAAATGTTTAATATTTAGTGTTTAACCTATGTTTTTCTTGTTTAAAATACTCAATTACATTACTGTTGCATTTTAAAAGAGACAAGACAATCACGTTACAGAAATTTTAGAACTTTTTACACTCCTCAGACTAGAATGCTCTCCTTTAAACAAGAAAATTTATTATCTAACTTTTATAGCCTATAGAGTTTTCAGGAATACTTGTTAAATAACTAGCAGAAAACTTGCTTACATCATATCACCAAAAACTTGAGCAAAATATTGAGCAAGTGCAGTAGTCAGAACCAATATTCTATTTGATAAAGTTTACTATTATCTCTGTACTTAAGACTTTCCTATCACATAACTTACCTTCATCATGACACTCAGAGCATATTTTTGATCTTCCCGTTTTGCTGTCGCTTTTGCTTCTGTAGCTTCTTTAGCTGTCTCTTGTGCTTGTAATATAGATTTTTCTCTTATTCTTTGCATCATTTCTTTGTCAACTAAACCATGAAGAACATCACTAAATAAGGATTGTGAAAAATTTGTTTTGCTTAGCAGAAAAAAATTGCTTAACATACTCACCCAAGACACAATTTCTTTTGTCCCAACTCTGCATGAGTAATATCCCTATTTCTGAATTATTAACTGACAAGATATTTATCATTAAAAAATAAGCATAATATTATTAATTACTACAGAATTAAAAGGGATCTCTGGTAGCCTAGTGGTAAGGAATTATGCAGCCAACAAAAAAGGCAGGCAGTTCAAATCTACAAACTGCTCCACAAGAGAAAGATGGGTAATTTCCTCCCATGTGATTTACTGCCACTGAAAACCCAGTAGAGGGTCAGCTATGAGTGGGTTCTAACTCGCCAGTACATAACAGAACAAAAGAACAAGAGAGAGAAGGGGTTAAGAGAAGTGAAGGGGCATAAGAGGGACCTCAAGAGTGGGAATAAGAGCACAGAAAGGAAGAGAGAACAAGAGACGTAGAATAAATGAGATGAGGATAATTGAGAAACAAAAAACACTGATCCTTCTACCCGTCAGCTAAGAAACTAGGACCATTTACTTATAAACCTAAAAACAGTTAATCTTCACAATGTGGTGTCTTAGAAGAAAAAATGGGTTAAGATCACCTATTAGTTGGTAATTTATTCATCCGATGAGCATCAAAAGCATCTCTCTCTCTCTTTCCATTCTCCTCTCTCCCTCCCTCTCTCTCTCCTGTAGAAATCGAACCAAATCACTATAGACCCTCCAGTGAGTTTCTAATCCTATCACTCACTCCTCACATGGAAGCCGACTGTCCATCTTTCTACTCTGAAGCTGCTCTTCACAGCTGCAGTCTTTGAGTTACCAGTGCAATTCTCTATGGACTATGCTATCAAAGCTTCCTCTGGGCATTATATTGTTGTTATGTTCCATTAAGTTGAAGCTGACACTCTAGTCAATTTTCAGAGGTTCTAAACTGCAGAGAAGGAAACTGTCTATCATTTATCTACTGGTGGCTCTGAACCCATCTGCCTTAAGGACAACTCTTTACTTTCTACGCCACCAGGCTTCCCATTGGGCAGTAGAATAAAGCCTTTATAGACATATTGTCAGAATAATTTCTCAAATGCATAAAGTAAAATGTTCTATGATTATAAAGAAAGAAAAGTCATTATATTAAAATATACTTGCAAAGTATTTTTAAAATTATGATATCTATTAACAATCTGCGTTACGCAGATGACACAACCCTGCTTGCTGAAACTGAGGAGGACCTCATGTACTTGCGGCGAAGGGTCAAGGACTGCAGCCTTCAGTATGGACTGACGCTCAATGTCAAGAAGACAAAGATTCTCACCACTGGACCAATTGGCAGCATCAGGATGGATGGCGAAGAGATTGAGATTGTTCACAACTTCAGTTTGCTCGGCTCCACAGTCAACACTCTTGGCCAGGAAAATCAAAAAACATATCGCGGTGGGAAAGTCTGCTGTTAGGAACCTCTCTAAAGTACTCAAGAGCAACGGTGTCTCTCTGGAGACTAAGGTGTGCCTGATAAAGGCCATGGTCTTTGCAATTGCTTGTTATGCGTCAAAGAGTTGGACAATGACTAGAGAGGACAGAAGGAGAGTTGATGCCTTTGAGCTGTGGTGCTGGAGAAGAGTATTGAATGTACCATGGACTGCCAGGAAAACACACAGATTCATCTTGGAGAGGATTAAACCAAGCTACTCCTTGGAGGCAAGGATTCTGGGGCTTCATCTGACATACTTTGGACATGTTGCCAGGAGGGACGGGTCCTTGGAGAGGGACATCATGCTTGGGAGGGTGGAGGGACAGCGCAGGAGGGGGAGACCCTCTATGAGATGGATTGATTCGGTGACTGGGGAAATCGGGATGGGTGTGTCAGAGGCAGTGCGGTTGGCGCAGGACAGAGCAGGGTTTAGGGCTGTTGTGCATAGGGTCGCTATGAGTCGCAAACGACTCAACAGCACATAACAACAACATGATATACTAATAAAAATATTTAAAAAATAAATGCAATTCAACTCATTGCAATTAAGTTGAAAGAGACTCACAACTGATTCTCCAGCAGATTTCTCAGCGTTGTAAACTGCACAGGAGACGCCTGCTCATCTTTCTCCCAAAGAGTCACTGGTGGATTGGAACCATCAGAGGGGCACTTGCCAAAAGGTTAGCAGAGCAACTCCATAGGGACTAGACCACCAGTGCTCCCTCACTGGCCACACAAAATTTTGACATATTAATATGTGCTTTTTAACTAATACATAAAAGTATGCTTAACAAAAAAATATTTCAAAGTAGCATAAAAGTTAGGGTATCTGTCATTTGAATTTATTGTGGCTTCTGTTAATATGGCTGCTACATGTTATCTATACTCACAATTTAAGGAAATGATAAATCTCAGGAGCAAGTAAAAAGATGTAATATTTACTCATCCAAGATCTTGACAAGGAATTTGTTGTTATTAGGAGTCACTAAAGAGGCTCCAACTCATAGCATATGGACATCAGATCAAAACTGCCTCAACCTGTGTCATCCTTGCAGTCGCCGCTATGCTTAAGCTATCTGCAGTATTCACTATGTCAATCCACTTTGATGAAGGTCATCATCTCTTTGCTGGCTCTCCATTTTTCTAAGAAGGTGGTTCTCTTTCAACCTGCCCCTCTGGATAATGTGCCCAATACATGTGACATGAAATCTCACTATCTTTGCTTCTAAGTAGTACTCTGACTATACTTTTTCCAAGGCAGAGTTGTTTATTCTTCTGGCAGTTTATGATACAGTCAATGCCCTTTGTCAACACCACAACTAAAAGGTATCCATTTTTTCCTTAGTCTTGCTAATTCATTGCCCAACTTTCACCTGCATGTAAGGGTAACTGAAAATGCCCTGACAAGTATGTGATCCTGGCTGGGAATTTGAACTGGAATAAATCTAAGGACTAAAATTAGATCTAGCAACCTCTCCAACTCTAATCTCATTCAATAAATAACAAGAGGGAAATAGGTGAACCAGTTTTAAGAGCAGAAATAATCACAAGAATGTCAACTTTCCATATTACATGTTCCATACTTGAGGAAAAGATGGAACAACTATGTTTTACATGAGGGGATGTTATTGTTGTTGCTGAGTTAAATATAACTCACAGCAACCCAATGAACAACAGCTCGGAATCTTGTTTTATCTTAAGCCAAGTGCATTGTCTCCAACACCTGCCCCCATTGCCAGTCACTGTGTCATTCCATCTTATCCATGGTCTTCCTCTCTTATACTGACCTTCTACTCTTCCAAGCATGTCCTTCTTCAAGGAGTGGCCCCTCCTGACAACATATTCAAAGTATGTGAGACAAAGATTCACCATCTTTGACTAAAGAGCACCGTGGGTGCACTTCCTTTAAGACAAACTTACTTATACTTTCATCAGTCATGGGATATTCAATACTCTTCTCCAACACAATTTAAAGGCATCAATTATTCTGTCATCTTTATTCACTGTCTAATTTTCAGGTGCATAGGAAGCAACTGAAAATAGCATGGGTTTGGTAAGGTATACCTTAGTCTTTAAATAGACACCATTGCTCTTTACACTTTGGAGGGCTTTTTGGACAGTAGAATTTTTTTATGAACTTTTTTAAAAATTTTTACTTTATTATTTTAGGGACAGTAGATTTTGATGGTAGTTGCTGGGTGCCAGCAAGTTCAGTAGGACCCACAGTGATCCTATGAATAACAGATCTGAACCTTGTCCTATCCTGTGCCATCCTCAAATTTCCTGACATATCAGAGACCATTGCAGCAGTCACTATATCAATCTATCTAGTTGAAGGTCTTCCTCTCTTTAGCCATCCCTCCATCTTTCTAAACGTTAAGTCCTTCTCCAAGAAATAGCCTCTCCTAGCAACATGCCTGCAGTATTTGAGACAAAGCTTTATCATCTTTGCCTTCAAGAAACACTGTGGCTGAATGTTCTCCAAGATATATTTGTTCTTTTTGGCAGTCCATGGGATATTCAGTACTCTTTTTCAACACCACAGCTCAAAGGCATCAATCCCTCTTCTGTCATACTTACTCACTGTCCAGCTCTTAGATGCATAGTAAGTGACTAAAAAGATCACAGCCTGGATCAGATACTCCTTAGTCCTCAAAGTAACATCATTGCTCCTCAATAATATGGAGAAGTCCCAGACTGCAGATTTCCAATGCAATATGTCTCCTGATTTCCTGACTTCTGGTACCACAGGTGTTAATGGTGGACCCAAAGAAGATGAAATCATTGACAACTTCAATTTTTTCTCCATATATCATGATGGACCTATTAGTGCAGTGGTAAGAATTTTTGTTTTCTTAACATTGAGATGCAAATCCATATTGAAGGTTATGCTCTTTGAACTTATGCAGCAAGTGCTTCAAGTCCTCCTCACTTTCAGCAAGCAACGTTGCGTGACCTTCACAACACAGGTTATTGATAAGTCTTCCTCCAATAGTTTTGTTTTGTTTTTGTCTTCCTCCAATCTTGATGTAACATTCTTCGGAGTTCAGCTTCTTAAATTATTACAGGCCATGGTCTTTGCAATCACTTGCTATGCGTCAGAGAGCTGGACAATAACTAGAGACGACAGAAGGAGAATCAATACCTTTGAGCTGTGGTGTTGAAGAAGAGTACTGAATATACTATGGCCTGCTAGGAGAACAAGCAGGTTCATCCTGGAGAGGGTGAAGCTGGGTTGCTCCTTGGAGTCAAGGATTCTGAAGCTTTGTATGACATATTTTGGACATGTTGCAAGGGGGGACCAGTCCTAGGAGAGGGATGTCATGCTTGGGAGGGTGGAAGGACAGCGCAGGAGAGGAAGACTCTCAACGAGATGGATTGATTCAGTGACTGGAGTAATGGGGATAGATGTGTCAGAGACAGTGAGATTGGTAAAGGCTATAACAGGGCTTAGGGCTGTTGTTCATAGGGTCGCTATGAGTCACAAGCGACTCAAAGGTACATAACAACAGTATACAGATTGAATAGGTATGGAGAGAGGATACAACCCTGAGTTCACGAGCTCTGTTTGCACAACAGCCTCTTGGTCTAGGTTTTGCATGAGCAAAATTAAGTGTTCTGGGATTCCCATTCTTCTCAATGTTAGTCATAACGTATTATGATCCACAGAGTCAAATGCCTTTGCATAGACAATAAAGTATAAGCAGACATTCTTCTAGTAGTCTTTACTTTCATGCAGGATTCATTTCACATCAACAATAATATCCCTAGTGCCATGGCCTCTTCTAAATACTGCTTGAACTTCTGGTGGTTCCCTATGAACTACTGTTGGGTTGTGTTTTGTTTTGTTTTGTTCTGTATAATTTTCATCAGTACTTTGCTTGCACGTACTACTGTTATTGTTCAATTAAAAAATGATAATGGGTCCTCTTAAGGCCAATGGGGTAGGAAAGGGTTTTTTATTCTAGAGTCCGATTCACATCTGCTTATGGGTAATTTTCAATATATTTAATCTTCTGAATAATTCTGTCTTTATTCTGTCCGGGTTTATTTATTGTAAGTGATAGGTGAGGCACTCTCTTTTAAGTCAGGTTCATGTGCCTAATCTTTTTCCTACGGGGCAATTATGAATGCTACAACAGGGATTCACACAACAACATAAAATGGAAACCACATAACCTAAAGAGCATCGTTTACTAATGAACTTACCACCTGATATAGAAAGGTTTTCCCACATGGCTGCTTCTTTTTTATACAAGGTAAAGACAATAGTATCATTTCCAATCTTGGCTTTACTGTGCTCATGATCTATAGGCGCGTAGAGAAACACCTCAAATAAAAATGGAGGGCAGTTGACCTGTTCAGAAAGGTGAAAAGGTGAATATATCTACACAAATTACAAATACAAGCGTTAAGAAATAAGTGATAAGGGTCCAAAATAATTTTCTGAACTGTCTAGATTGTGGAAATTTTACAAGAGGTATGAAGAGTCTCCTGATAAACTTATCTAATAACATCTGTCCTAGAGAGGGTGAAAACAGGCTGCTTTTTGGAGGTAAGGATTCTGAAGCTTCATCTCACATACTTTGGACATGTTGCAAGGAGTGTGACCAGTCCTTGGAGAGGGACGTCATGCTTGGGAAGGTGGAGGGACAGCGCAGGGAAGATCCTCTATGAGGTGGATTGATTCAGTGACTCGGGTAATGGGGGTAGGTATGTCAGAAACAGTAAGACTGACACAGAATAGAGCAGACACTCGACGGCACATAACAACAACATATGCGGTGTACCGGATGCATTTAAAAATGTAGGCTGGTTCTTGGCGAGCGTGCGCCTGTTGTTCTTCCCAGGAGCGCTCTCCCAGATGCCAAGGACCACACCCCCAGGAACCCTGCAGGCGCCACCGCATTTCTTCTACCTTTAGATAATTTTCCGTGCAGAATACATCCGTGTCTCTGACGCAGACGCCTCGAAGGGGTAGAGAAAGAAAAACTGAAGTCTCCGTTTGCTGCCAGCTGAAATCGCTAACCTGAAGAGGCATCCCGGGAAGCGGCGTGCGGCGCGCGTTCGGTTGCTAGGGAAGCTAGGGTCACCACGCGCTAGCCCTTCCGGGTCAGGCCTGGCCCTAGTTAAGTAGTGGGTAATAGCGTGACTTCTGTCGCCATCGTGCACCTGATTCAAACCGTGGTCTTCTCAGTCACTTTTTACGCATTTAAAAACTGGACAGTAAATAAAGATGACAGAAGAAGAGTTTTTTTTATGCCTTTGAGTTTAGGCGCTGGTGAAGATGGACTACAAAAAGAACAAAAAAAATATATATCCTGGAGAAAATTAAGCCAGAGTGCTTCTTGAAGGCAAAGATGATAAAAGTTTCCCCTCACAATACTTAGGAAAGGGAGGCGGTGGTGTCAGAGCTTCAACCAGGTGGATTGACACAGTGACTGCAATAGGCTCAAAAGTATCCGAGATTGTAAGGATGGCACAGGCTAGGACAGGGTTCAGATCTTTTGTTCATAGGGTCGTTGTATACTCAACTGGCACCTAACAGGCACCTAACAACAACAGCATCGCCTAGTGCTCTGCTTTCATGACTGGGTGCTTGGGAAATGATGTTAAACTGTGTAGTGAGATCCTGTCCTCTTCACTACAACACTAGCAGAGAGATATGAAAAGGAGCTAAAATCTGCTAAAGAAAAGAATTTAATGCCAGAAAATGCAAAGAAGGGGGTAATAAAGTCTGACCCGTGAGGATGAAAGTGATCGGGAAAAGTTTTGTATATATAAGGTAGAGTTGGAGCTTATTTAATGTCACATAATAAAAATAATTCATGGTGCGTCTGATACAGGCCATGGTCTTTATAATCACTTGTTACGCATCAGAGAATTGGACAATGACTAGGGGAGGATAGAAGGAGAATTGACACCTTTGAGCTGTGGTGCTGGAGAAGAGTATTGAGTGTACCATGGACTGCTAAGAAAAAAACCCAGATTAATCCTAGAGAGGGTTAAACCAGGCTGCTCCTTGGAGGCAAGGATTATGGAGCTTTGTCTAACATACTTTGGACATGTTGTAAGAAGGGACTGGTCCTTGGAGAAGGACATCATGCTTGGGAGAGTGGAGGGATAGCGCAGGAAGGGAAGACCCTCTATGAGGTGGATTTATTCCGTGACAGGGATAATCAGGATGGGTATATCGGAGGCAGTGCAATTGGGACAGCATAGAGCAGAATTTAGGGCTGTTGTACCTAGGGTCGCTATGAGTCGCAAGCGAATTGACGGCACATAACAACAACAATAGTTATTGTTGTGTGTTGTGGAGTATGAACCGACCCATAGCTCCAGCGAATTTTCAGAGACAGTTAATCGCAGGGGAGGAAATTTCCCATCTTTCTCCTACAGAGCAGCTGGTAGATTTGAACCACATAATTTTGGCTTGACTACACAGCTCCTTACCAGTTAATCCTCCAGACCTCCCTTTATTAAGAATAAGGGCACCAAAAGCACTTCTAAGTGGTTATGCATCAGAATCTGTTCAATGGAGCACAACAGAAATGACTTGTAAATACTGAACGTTTCAGTCTATCCAAAGGTGCCTGACCTTGTGGTCTACTTCTGGAAATAGAAAGAAAAAAAAAATCAGAAAGGAGTTGTTGTTATATGCCCTTGAGTCGCTTGCGACTCATAGTGACCCTATCTACAACAGCCCTAAACTCTGCTCTGTCCTGTGCCAATCACACTGTCTCTGACACTCCCATCCCTATTAACCCAGTCATTGAATCAATCCACCTCATAGAGGGTCTTCCTCTCCTGCACTGTTCCTCCACCCTCCCAAGCATGATGTCCCTTTCCAAGGACCAGTCTCTCCTTACAACATGTCCAGAGTATGTTAGACGGAGCCTCAGAATCCTTGCCTCCAAGGAGCTGCCTGGTTTAACCCTTTCCAGGATGAAAGTTTGTTTTCCTAGCAGCCCATGGTACTCTCAATACTCTTCTCCAGCACCACAGCTCAAAAGCATCAGTTCTCCTTCTATCCTCCTTGGTC